CAACTGCAGAAACTCTCTCATATTCAGTGTCCATGGTGAAAAAAGGAGTCCTTAAATGGCTCCCTGACCCTTGCTGGGGTAAGAGAGGTCCCCCTCACAAAGCCAGTTTCTTCCTCTTTCCGTTGTCCCTCAGGGAAGCTCCCTTCTCTCTCTTCCAGTAAGCTTCCAGAAGCCATGACCATTGTCAGGAGTAGCTCCTACCTCAAGGGTTTCTTATAGTGTCTTTCACAGGAGGTGGGTACTGCCAGGTCTCCATCACAGTGCTTAAAGGCAAGGCCTAGAGAAGCTAAGTTTGTTAGGATACAAGTTCAGCTGCTTTAACAAAAGCCCAAATGCATAATGGGGGAAATATTTTCTCACTTAGTAATCCAGAAGGAGGTGGTCCAGAGAAGTAGGGCAGCTCTGTTCCACGAGGTCTCCAGGGGCCCAAGCTTCTTCTATCTTCTGAAGACCATGTTTTCCTCATCCACATAGTACAAGATGTCTTATCTCTGCATTCTCATCCAGCCAATGAGAAGAGGGGAAAAGGGTAGTGGAGGGCCTTGGACTCTGGTACAGAAGGTCCTAAAGTCTGGGGGTCATTTTTGACTCTTCTCTTTCTCTCACATCCCACATCTGGTCCATTAAGAAACCTGTTGGTTCTATCTCCAAAATGTCTAGAATTCAGTCATTTCTCATCACTTCTGCTACCGCCCTGTTCCAAGCCACCCTCATCTCCAGCCAGGATGATTGCAATGATCTCCTAACTGATCTCCCTACTTCTACACTCAGTCTATTCTCAATATGGCAAAAAGAGCGATCTTCCTATAATGTAAATCAGATTCCTTTTTCCTCTGCTCAGAGTCCTTCAATAGCCTCCCATTTCCCTTTGAGTAAAAATCAAAGTTCTTCAACGCCTACAAACCTCTGTATGATCTGACCTCCCACATCCTTGATGCTTCTTTCCTTCTGCTCTTCCCTTGTTCACTGGCTCACCCTATTCCAGCCACACTGGCATCCTCACTGCTTCTGGAATATGTTAGACCCACCTCTGCCATAGGGCCTTTGCACTGGCTGTTCCTTCTGCCTAGAAATATCCTTATCACTAACTCCCTCACTCCCCAAGCCTGTGCAATTATTGTCTTCTCAATGAGCCCTTCTCTGACCACCTCACTGAAAGTTAACACCACTTCTCCCATTCCCTTCCTCGTGTTCTTTCCCCCCATTTTCCTACAGCACTCACCATCTTCTGACACACTATGTAATTTGCTTTTTTATTATGTTTATTTTTTACTGTCTCTCTCCTCCTGCTAGAATCTAAAATCTGAGAGAGAAGAATAGTTGTCTCATTTAGTGAAGAATCCCAATCAGCTAGAACAGTGCCAGACAAATGCAGGCACTTACTAAATGTTTGCTGAATGAAATGAGTGATCAGGACTCAGGAATTGTGCTTGCCAGCCCTGGGTTAATGTGATGGGTTGAGTTACAGCCCCCCAAAAAGATATGTTGAAGTCTTGAACCCCAGTATCTCACAATGTGACCTTATTTGGAAATAGAGTCTTTACAGAGGTCATCAAGTTAAAATGAGGTCATTAGGGTGAGTCCTAATCCAATGTGACTGGTGTCCTTATAAAAAGGGGAAATTTGGACACAGAGACAGACATGCACATAGAGAGGACACTGTGTGAAGATGAAGGCAAATATCAGATGATGCACATACAAGCCAAGGAATACCAAAGTTTGCCAGCAAAACACCAGAATCAAGGCAAGAAACATGGAACAGATTCTCCCTCACAGCCCTCAGAAGGAAACACCCCTACCTACACCTTGATTTTAGAGTTCTAACCTCCAGACTGTGAGATGATAAATTTCTGTTATTTTAAGCCACCCCAGTTTAGGGTCCTTTGTTATGAGAGCCCTAGGAAACTAATGCAGTTAGTCTCTAGATATTGGGTAGGTCTAAGTGAGGTTTGGAAACTTAATTAGATCTAGAGGCGCCTGTAAACTAAAGCAATATACAAACAAGGTATAATATTAAACAAGAATGTGTCCTCAAGGATTAGCTGTGTCTGCCCCAAGGACTCTGTAGGACAATTTCTGAATTCTGCCTTACTTCTCTTTCTCCATCCACCCCTTCCCTCATCATCACCACACAAAACACCTGCGCTAAGTCATAGGGGAATTCCCAGCTTATATTTCCCATGAAGGATTCAGCTGGGCAGCACTCAGCTCCTCTTGAAGATCTTTCTCCAAGCCTGAACTTGTCCTTGCATCTAATCAACTCATCTGCTCTCTGGAAGATTAGGAAGTTCTCTGGTACAGGGCTTTCTGTTTGAAGGGATTCTGTTCAGATAGATCACTCATCCTCAAGGTACCGCCCCCTGCCCCAGGAGAATTGGGAGGGTGGCGGTTGGTGTCCTTCTGCTGGCTCTGTGATCATTCCGGCCCGGCAGGGTCAGTAACGACACTGGAAGGGAAAGGCTTCTGACTTTCAGTGAGGATAGTGGTTGTGTGCAATTTGGGGTTTTCCATGGACTTTCTATGTTTGGGGAATGAGGTTCCATCTACTCAACTGCTTGGGGTTGTGTAAGGCGATTTAAACCACTACCCAGGCCATTTGGCTTCAGAATTGCTAACAGCCTAAAAGAACATGTCATGGGCACCAGGATGGTACGGGTGTCCTGGAATACAAGCAGAAAACCAAGACAGGGAGTTGGAGGCTAGGCTTGAAAGGATTTGACACTGGGGAGTGTCAACCACCAGAAGGAGCGGAGAGGGCAGGTAAGATCCCAGGCCTGAAAGAACAGGGCAGCAAGAAGGAAGCCAATTCTTGCTGGAGTAGGACAGAAAGCAAAGGACTTGGTATCAAGAGCAAACCAAGATCCTAAGATAGAACTGTGGGTCGTGGTGAATTCTGGCAGTGACGTTCACTTAGGGGTGAACTCACAGATTTTCCTCTGAGGCTTTAAAATTACACCTGGTTCTGAACCAGATTTGTGGCAGAGCCGATCCTTTATGAGACCCACGTTAATCACCAGTCTTATGTTAGGACTTGTACAGGCGCTGCGGGCCGCAGAGATGACAGCCGTTGTTCTCGGGGAGTTCACAGTTTGGTGGGGCAGAAATCAAAGATAAGTCAATGACAGTATCATCTTTTAAGCAGGAGAAGAGAAATGTGACAGGAGAGGGGAATATGGCAGCGACGAAGAGCTCGGGCTCTGGGTCCAGCAGACCTGAATTCAGATCCCGCTGCTCCAACTACAGATTGTGTGATCCTGGGCAAGTCACTAAGCCTCTCCAAGCTTCAGAGCCTTCCTGTAAATGGGAACAATAATGGTGCTTAACTACTTTATAAGAGTCCTGTGAGGATCAAATTAGATCATACATGCCTCAAACCTAGTAAATTCCCAATAACATTGACTATTATTTATAATAATAGTTATTAATACTATCATAATTATCTGGGGGAACGTAATGTCAGGAAATGTTTCCAAGAAAAGGTGGCATTTGAGCTAAATATTGGAAAATAAAGAGAAGTTGGCTGAGTCTGGGGTTGGGAGGACACGAATGAATTGCTTTTGCTTTTTAATTATGCCCTGCCAGATTCTTCAAACAATTTTAGGTAGGATGATGAACTCAGTGTTAGTCGAATTGAGTTTGAGATGCTCTGAGCAACACAAGATGTTTGACTTCATTCTAACCCTACTGTAATCCCAAATCTTACGTTTGCCCCATTAATGATTGTAGCTCCATGAAATGAAGACAAATATTAATATTTTTTCTACTTGATTTTCAATAGAAATAACACAAAATAAAATTGATGATGCTAAAATTGCACCCAGTAAACTTTGTTTTGGTTGAAAAATTAACATTTAAGTCTTCTTAACCCAGGAAAACTAGCCTTGATAGAAGAGAAAAAAAAAAAGGCCACAAAAGAAAACTTACTTTGGGTGAAATTACAATAGAGAATATTTGGTAGGGACAAAAATAAACAAAATAAAACTGATTAATAAATCAAATCTTTGTTGTAAATGTAGAAAAGAATTAATTCAAATTAATTCAAAATAAAGGAATTTCAGTAAAATAAAAATTTAAATAAAGCTTAACTGCACTCTATAGGAAATTAATATAGAAATTAAATGATCATAGTCAAGTTTACTCCAAAAGATACCTTTCGGTTGAAAAGCCTTCCACATTGATGTAATTCTGATGAACACGTTTGCTTTCATAAACATAGAATTAAAACATCCTTGGGTTCAAAATAGTGGGTCAGAATCTCCAGTGCTTGCCTGTGACATCCAGGTGGGTGGGTTGAGGAAGCAGCTGGAACTCTGTCTAGAGCTTAAGAGGGCCGGCCCAGTGGCGCAGCGGTTAAGTGTGCACGCTCTGCTACAGCAGCCCGGGGTTCGGATCCCGGGCGCACACAGACACACCACTTGTCAAGCCATGCTGTGGCAGCATCCCACATAAAGTGGAGGAAAACGGGCATGGATGTTAGCCCAGGGCCAGTCTTCCTCAGCAAAAAGAGGAGGATTGGCAACAGATGTTAGCTCAGGGCTGATCTTCCTCACCAAAAAAAAAAAAAAAAAAGAGCTTAAGAAATCAGGGTACAAATAAGGATTTTGAAGTCACCACCATGTAGGTATTAATTTGTTTTCTTCTGCATCGTCCATAAAATAATAATGCAGAGTAAGAACGTAATAAATGCTTGTTGAATGTTAGATTGTCTCTAGTCAGCCCTGCAAGCATTATGAACAGAGGAATTGCACCTGTAGAGTCAATCACTTTAATTTAGCACTTACTGAATACAAAAATGGACTCTCACACCTTTGATAATAATCAGAGCGAAACTGAGGTCCACCAAGACTTGGACATCTGGAGTGTAATCACAAGTCCTAGCAAAGAATATACTATTTCCAGTTTGTAAGATGAAATATTTTTATCCTTATGTTCCGTATCATTCACCAAACATTTCTTCTTCTTTTAACAATTATTTTCTCTCTTTTAGGTTTGCTTCTGTAGAGTTCTTCATTCTCCACTTAGCAAGGCCATGGAAGATCTAGAGGAAACTTTACTTGGAGAGTTTGAGAACTACTCCTATGTCCTGGAATATTACTCCCCAGAGGCTGATTTGGAGGAGAGTGCCCGCCTGGGAGTCGTCCACTGGGTCTCCCTGGTGTTGTACTGTTTGGCATTTGTTCTGGGCATTCCAGGAAATGCCACTGTCATTTGGTTCACGGGATTCAAGTGGAGGAAGACAGTCACCACTCTCTGGTTCCTCAATCTGGCCATTGCAGATTTCATTTTTCTTCTCTTCCTGCCCCTCTACATCTCCTATGTGGCCATGAACTTCCACTGGCCCTTCGGCATCTGGTTGTGCAAGGCCAATTCCTTCATTGCCCAGTTGAACATGTTTGCCAGTGTTTTATTCCTGACGGTGATCAGCCTGGACCGCTATATCCACTTGATCCATCCTGTCCTATCTCATCGGTACCGAACCCTAAGGAACGCCCTGATTGTTATTATATTCGTTTGGCTTTTGGCTTCACTAATGGGTGGTCCTGCCCTCTACTTCCGGGACACTCTGGAGTTTGATAACCAAACTCTTTGCTATAACAATTTCCATGAGCATGATTCTGACCTCACTGTGATGAGGCACCATGTTCTGACCTGGGTGAAAGTCATTGTTGGGTACCTCTTCCCTCTGCTGACAATGGGCATTTGCTACTTGTGTCTCATCTTCAAGGTGAAGAAGCGAAGCATCCTGATCTCCAGCAAGCATTTCTGGACCATTCTGGCTGTGGTCACGGCCTTCTTTATTTGCTGGACTCCGTATCACCTGTTTAGCATTTGGGAGCTCACGATTCACCACAGTGGCTATTTCCATCAGGTACTGCAGGCTGGAATCCCCCTCTCCACTGGCTTGGCATTCCTCAACAGCTGCTTGAACCCCATCCTTTACGTCCTAATTAGCAAGAAGTTCCAAGCGCACTTTCGGGCTTCCGTGGCTGAGATTCTCAAGAACACGCTGTGGGAGGTGAGCTGCTCCAGCACCGCGAGCGACCAGCTCAGGAACTCCGAGAGCAAGAACCCGTGTCTCCTGGAAACAGCCCAGTGAATTCTGACTCTTCCACAAGCCAGTGTAAGGCTTCTGTGTGGGTCGCTGGACAGATGGTTTCAGATTGTTGGTTCCAAGATACAGAGCTGACCGTTTCTTGTCGTTGTTTTTGGTCAGTATATCGGCATCACGTATTTGTGTGAATATAAAACTTAGGATCTTCGTTTTTTCCCCCTGCAACTTAAATTATCTGTGTTATTCTTGCTAAGTAGATTAATCAACACTTATTATTTTTTCAATTTTAATAACTTTTTAAAAGTCCTAAATCTTAATGTTAAATATATGACTAATTTCAAAAATATTAAAATGTTTGCTTAAGCTCACTTTCATTTTGCACAAGTAACCTATTAGACATATTCTTAAAATGTAACATATGTACTTAATTTCTTTATCTCATGTAATCTGTGATATACATTTATGAATTAAAGTAATAGTTGGTTATAGTAGTTTAAAACATTGTTCCAGTTAACTATTAATGTTTACCAAACTGCCCCAAGGTCTAGGTGCTTAAAACAACAATTTATTATTGTTGTATCTCATAATTCTCAGAGTCGGGAATTCAAACAACACACAGAAGGGAGGGTCGTCTCTCTGCTTCACAACGTCTGGGGCCGCACTGCACTGGGATGACCTGAGTGGCTGCATGTCTGGAAGAGCTGGGCATGGGCTGAGCAGCTCTCTTCCCTGCTCTGTCCTCCCCTCACCCCACCCCGTCCCCTCCGTCTCCTGCACTCCTTTCTCTTCTCTTCTCTCTCCACACAAGTGTTCCAGCATGGCACCTCAGGTAGCCAGACTTCTTATATGGCACTTAGGGCAACTTACGGAAATTTCTAGTCCTCTTAAAGGCGATGCCAGACCCTGGCACGGTATCACTCCCACTGTACTCTGTAGGTCAAAGCAGTCAAAGGCCAGCTCAGATTCAAGGGGAGAGGACTAGACCCCACCACTCGATGGGGATACACTCCCGTCTCTAATCCCCCACGATATCATTATAAACGTAAATGTTTTTGGAAAGTTCTGCGTAAGTGCAAGTATGTATGAGATTGCTATAAAAAGGAAGCGTTGACATCCAGATAGCAGGTAGGCCAGCCCAGTCTCAGAATGATTTCAGAAAAAGAAAACATGCATGACATTGATGTTTCCACCTTCTGTTCCTGTAAATCCATAGACACCAGGATAATAAAACCAATCAAGTGTACCTTTAAGTCAGTGACCTCTTCATGGTGCAAATCTGCTGCATTTTAGACTGTGAAGCATTATGACCTCTATTCATCTCTCCCTTTAGCAAATAGATGAGCACCTAAGAGGTATACAGAGCCATGGTAGAGAGATGTTATGAGGGATGCCAAGATGCATACGGTACTTACAGGTTAGATGGTGAGATTACACCTGCATAAAAACAATCCTGGAACAAGGTTACAGCAATCAGGGCCACAGGAGAGCCAGGGCAAGTGTAGATCATTCAGAGGGGTAAGAGACGGCGTCCAGTCGGAGGTGAAGAAACACTGGAAATCTGTGTCCTGCCTGTGGGGTTTCCTCAAGACCCTGCTCCTAGCCCTTGTCTCCGCTGGTACCCTTGTCTCTTATGAATACAAACTCTGCTACTCGTTGTAATTTTAAAAATTTAATTTTCTCTAATTTCTCAATTTTATTTTGAAAGTTGTGAGGGGAGCCATGTTGTTTCTTGAGTCAGTATCCTTTTTTATTTCATCTCCTAGTTTTTGGAAATATCAGATTATTTATTGGCTATGTTCTTTAGTGTTAGCCCCATGCAACAACCAGATCGGTTTTGGAAATGAGTCCCAAAAAATGTGTGGCATAGCTCAGCATATCCCAAACTTGTGTCATTCCCAAATGTCATGTTTTCTACCCAGTCCGGGATGGGTCAGGGAAGGCAGGAGAGAGGATCAGCGTGAGTTTCCGGCTTTTTGTGCAGCCTTTCAATGTGCCCCTCCATCACTGGGCTTTGAGATACTCCACTCTGCGTTCCCATTAGCCCTGGCGTCCCAGAATCAGGAGAAACGCTGGAGGATCCAGAAATGAAGAGAACTCTATGGGCTCATCCTTAGTTTGGGCAAAGGGAGAGACTCTCAAGGCTGAGAGAGGAAGAAGGCTGAGGAGCAGGAAGGGGATGAAGCTACCAGGGGCAGGAGGAGATTACAGAGCAGGTGGTATTCTGGAAGCTACACTTCAGGGTGGCGCTCGCTAACCTTTGTGAGTCATTTTTCTCACTTGACTCAACGGGCACAGCATGTAGGGCCTGTGAGCTTTCCCAGGGCTGATGAAAATATTTGAGATCTTAAAAAACATTATCGGCTCTAAAATACGAAAAGGAAGCCTGAAAAGTCAAAATTAATAAATAATTACATGTCTATGAAATATGCCTTTACATTAATCACATGAAATATTTTTTAATTATATAAAAATTTATAATTAATATGGGATTTCAGTATGCTGCAATGTTTGATATGAGGGGTGGAGCTTCCTAAGGTCTACAGAAGTCTTAGAGGAACTCTGAATATATTTGAGAATCTAATGAAAGTTATGGGTCCTTTCCTCAGAAAAATGCTTTTAAATAAAATTTCAGGGAGTCTTTAGACCCCAGACTAAGAACTTCAGTTTTAGTGGCTTTTAAAATAAAATAGCAGATAGTGGGGATGTAACAGGAATCCACCAAATAGAAAGTAGCAACCAGTGCAGGCAGCTTCCCAGCAGAAAGAGGAGCTGATTTTTTATTCTCAGCTTGAAGATCGAAAGAGTAGCATAGCGCCAAGCATGGACCAGGGTTGGGGACACCAAGCCTCCCTCCGCCCCCCTGGCAGTTGGGATCTGGTGGGTGGGGCTCTCCAGGGGTGTAATGACCAAGAGCAGGATGATGACTGAAAGGACAGGGGGGCTGGAGAGGGGCCGTGCACAAGCCACGTGGGGAGGAAGCGAGGGGCTCCGTGCCCAGGAGGAGAGTGAGAATCCCAGGCTCAGGGCCCGGGGGCATGGACCCAGGGAGATAGACGTGTCTCCTCCTCAAGGGGAGGCAGCTCTTCGAAACAGAGGCAAGTCCCAGGCCTCCGGAGGCAGGATATCTGGATTTGAATCACGGCTCCAACACCTCTTAAGTCTGTGGCTTTGGCTAAAGTAATTCAAATTTCTATACTTCGGTTTTCCCCATCTGCAAAATGCTGGTAACAACAGTAGCACCTGCCACATAGGGCTACTGTGAAAATTAAATGGGTTGATGCAGGTAGAGCACCTATACAGCGGTGCTCAGCCCCACAAGTACCTGATAGATACTAGCTGGTATTCTATTTACCCAGCGAAACTCCTGGCATCTTCTGAAACAGTAACTGCTCAGTAAACGTGAGCTCCCTTCCTCCTCTTGAATGACCGTGAAACCTCAGAGGAAGAACAAGGGAACAACACTAAGAACTTTAAAACAAGATGGTTTATAAGTGCTATAAAAAAGTATTATGGGCTGGTAGCCTGCCAGGGGCAAGAAGGAGCAGAATCAAAGAAGCCTTCTTGACAGAGGCATCTGAAGCGCACCTTGAAGAATGGCTACAATCTTACCAAGTGCAGGTGAGAAAAGAGGCTGTTTCAGGTAGGCGGCACAGCAAGACCAGGTGTTCAGAGGTTGGAAAACATGGGCTGTGTTCAGAAGAGAGACTAGACCCATTAGTGCCACAGGGACGAAGTGACGACAGAAGATTCACAAGTTGGCGTCAGGCTGAATAGTAACCCACCGTTCCTCAGTATTCTTCCACACAGGCAGTACCTCGTTTTGAGATGCATAGTTAGAAGGCTATGGACATTTTCCTTTGATTTTTACTTTACTGAAAGCTATTCAAGCCAATGACATTCCAAATGAGATTCTCACTGGGGACATTTCCTGAATGCAACTCTTATCACCCACAAAGAGCAAGTAACGGGAGAACGTGTGTCGATCAGTCTCAACTTCCATTTTAAGTTTACCCCTTACATGACCTTATCTTCTCTCCCTGAGGGTATGAAGCAAGGGTTACACTGATGAAATAGGATTAAATTTAAAAGCAGAGATGAGGAACTTTCCATTCCATTGCCAACACATCCTCCGGCCTATGAAGACCTGGTTTGAGTTCCTCCTCTCGCTCACTAGGTAAAAAATCCAGCAAGTCGTCTTTCAGAGTTCAGTTTCCTCATCTACACGTGGTGAAAACAGCGTCCGTCTGCCTTGTTTATCTCACAGGCTTGTAATGGGGTCAGATCAGATAACTTATATGAGGCACGTAGTTTTTACTTTTTTATTCTAAGGGCACGAATTGCCATTGCCAAATTGTATTTGTTTGGAAAAATATATATACGTATATCTCAAAACACTAGTGCGACTCTTTTTGTATTTGTGTCTTTGTCCATAAGCTTATCTTTTCATAGTAATAGGCAATGAAAAATCAAGGATTTTTCAATGTTGCTATAGTCTCCATTACTTTTTAAAATAATTACATTAAATTCATAAACTACTTCATTGAGTCTGTATGCCGTAATTTAGCCATTTCCATTTACATTAGGGTTCTAACAGTCCTTTCATTTCTCTGCTTCCATCCACACCATCTCCCAGTCAGAGGTCTGCCTTTGTCTCATCATTGTGTGTCTTGGAAACCTTCAGGGCTCCCCACTGCCTTCAGGGAATGAGCCAGGCTATAATTCAACTGCCTCTACAACTGGCCCCACCCTGTGTAATCCCAGCCTGACACTGCAAATCCAGACCGACTGGTCTAAATGCCTCCCAATCTCTGTTCCCACTCCTGCCCTTATTATTCTGCCTTTCTCACCCTCCTGGAACATTCTCTCTCTTTTTTTTTTTAACGAATTACTGATTAAGGTCCATCCAGCTCAAGTCTCAATTCCTCTAAAAAACTTTTATTCAAGTCTAGCCTTCCCTGACCCTCTGAACTTTCGGATTACTTGCTTAATCACAGAATGACTTTTCTTCTTAACAATTTTGTGTTTGAACCACCTCCCTAGAGTTATTTTCTTAACTCTCCTTTCGTATTTTTACAGCATCTAACAGTGATACCGAATGAATCAGTTTTGAATTCCCACACGGTGCCCAGCCCTGTGCTAGGGATACTGAGTATGAAAAACAACCAAGGTTTCAGAGTCATTGTAATCACTTACATTATGGAGCCTGAGAAAAAGGTGGGCTCTTTTATTTGTTCTGTCTTCCACTTCAAAGCCAGAAACAAAAAAAACCTCTATGTATACCTATTTCTGGGCCCATTGGTTCAAAAGTGGTTCATCAGTACACTGGCTCACAGGCAAATATGAGCACTGCTCATAACTGCCAAAAACTGAAAGCAACCTAAAGATCCAACAAATAGGCTTTGGATAAATAAGGAGACAATGAGTGATGCAACTGTTAAAAAATCAGGGAGCTTCTTATGTACTGACATGGAACATCCAAGATAGAGCTCACCTCCAAGATAAGAGTCTGTTTCTACCGACAAAACGCACGGGGCAGAAGTGCGTGTCGTGTGCTAGTCGGTCTGTGCATGTGCTCACACTAGGACTGGAAGACCTAAACCTGTGACACTGGTTGCTTTCATGGAGGTTACGGGAGGCCTGTGAGACAGGGGAGACTTCACTGTATAACCTCTTGAATTTTGAACTGTTTTTTTTTTGTGAGGAAGATCAGCCCTGAGCTAACATCCATGCTAATCCTCCTCTTTTTGCTGAGGAAGACCAGCTCTGAGCTAACATCTATTGCCAATCCTCCTCCTTTTTTTTCCCCCAAAGCCCCAGCAGATAGTTGTATGTCATAGTTGCACATCCTTCTAGTTGCTGTATGTGGGACGCGGCCTCAGCATGGCCGGAGAAGCGGTGCATCGGTGCGCGCCTGGGATCTGAACCCAGGCCGCCAGTAGCGGAGCGCGTGCACTTAACTGCTAAGCCACGGGGCCGGCCCCTTGAACTATGTTAATGTACTATCTACTTTTTAAAATATGTAATTAAGATACCATTAAATATATCTATTCAAGGCCATGGAGACAAGGTTTTTAAAGTCACGTGCTTTATCGTCATTTTAAGATTTACAAGACAGGGCCGGCCCCGTGGCTTAGTGGTTAAGTGAGCGCGCTCCGCTGCTGGCGACCCGGGTTCGGATCCCGGGCGCGCACCGACGCGCTGCTTCTCCGGCCATGCTGAGGCCGCGTCCCACGTGCAGCAACTAGAAGGATGTGCAGCTATGACACACAACTATCTACTGGGGCTTTGGGGGGAAAAAATAAATAAATAAAATCTTAAAAAAAAAAAAAAAAAAAAAGATTTACAAGACAGCTGTAGTTTGAATTGGCCATTCTGAATTTTTAAACTCCTTTTATCTTGAACCAAATTTTTAATAATTTTTTATTGCTAATGATTTTACTTAATACTTAACGTTTTGGTCAAGCTATCTGGTACTCAATCCCTTTAACATGTCAATGATGGTGAATTACTTTTGGCTACTATTCACTAGTTATACTACATCTCTCCATAGCAGCATTTCCAGAATTCCCAGGTTCTCCTGTTCTCCAGAAAATGAAGTGCTGCCCTCTGCTGGCTCTCATGATACTGACAACCTGAAAATTTCTCTGGTGATTTTAGACTGGGTCTGTTGGACTAAATGCCGCTTAGTGGAGGTGATTTTAGTCATCACTACATACATGTCCGAGTAAATAAATTTTTCTTAGAATGCACACATTTCCCCACATTCAAGGTAGTCACATATAAATAAAATCAAATTGAGAGGAAAAAAACCCAGCATCGTCTGGCTTTGCTAGGAAAATTTTGACCTCAAATGATTTAATCTCTTTGGTCTACAAAGAGATTACACAGACGACAAAATAAGGACTTTTAGAGGTCAGCAATCCTCAAACTCTACTTTCATAAAAACTGCTACTGTCAGAAAATATAATCAAATAGGCCATATACCCCAATGTAACTGTTAAAATGCAGCTGTTTCCAGTATTTGACTATCATTTGACTCAACACCTCGCCCTCATCTCAGTACATTAACCTGCAGCACCTCAGCACTGAGGTCCCCCCTCCTAAGAGGATCAATCCATTTCCAAATCCAAGTAAAATGTCCCACTTGGTCCCACCTCCACACCCAAGCCAAGGAATCAATGACCTATATATCCCTCCTTCCAGGAACCAACGCCCCCTCCAATCACATTCCCAACACTTAAAGCAAGTTCTCCCTCAACCGTACATGAGGCATTCTATCAATTTGCAACAACTGCCTTGACAAATTCATGACAAACTCCAGGAATCTGGGTTCCCTCCTCTGGGTTATGGGTCTTTTACTAACGTTGCACATCCCATCTCGTAACATTTGACATCATTTTCAGGTGGGCTTTGTAATTGTGTCATTTTTTTCAGTCACAAGTAAGCCCCAACTCCAAGACGCCAGGTTACAAGTTACTTCGTTGGCCCTTTAAGTCATTGACTGCTTAATCAGAAATGGACTTAGTCCTGTCATTCACCTCCAAATGTTTTATTAACTATTCGGCAAATAATTGATGTTATTCACTATGTGCCCGGTATTGTCCTAAGCACTAACTATAATGTCTCATTTGCAATTCTTTAAAGTATTCCCAATATTCCCATTGAGAACCAACTCAGATATTAAATAACTTTGTAATCCCCTGCAAAGGCCAAGGTTGGAGCCATTATAAACCCAGTGCCAATCATCTAAAATTAGAACTCAATACAAAATGTCCACAAGTGAAGTTTTAGCTCCCTGATTTCTTTTAAAAACAAGGCAAACATGGAAACTTGAAATATTGTGGTAAAAGTGGTACCATCCTGCTTGCTGAGGATATCACTAATGGATACAGAAATTATACTAAAATTTAGTCCATTTCTATTAATTTGTTTATATAATCTACTCGACATCTACGTGTATTCACAGTATTTGTAATAGGTAGTTTCCCCTCTTTTGGGCTAATGTCTAACAAGAATGCCAACCCAAATTTATATTGTTTATGAATTACCTATCTACTGAATTTCTTCCCTCAAAAAGGAAAGAATAAACAACACCCTCCTATTTAAGAGTCAAGAGTCAAGGGTTGTCTTTCAAGCTTTTATTTAAGGGCAACGATCCACGATGGATTTTAGATCTTGTTGAAAGCAGCCACATCCATGGACTGTACATAGTCCTCAAAGGCAGTGATTCGCTCCTCGAGCATATCTGTTCCAACTTTATCGTCTTCAACTACACACTGTATTTGAAGTTTTTTAATTCCATACCCCACTGGAACTAGTTTAGCTGAAAAGAGCATTAAGAAAAATCTTAGTTAGAAATGTCTTATTGATTAATAAAGGTTGAAACTTATATGCAAATTCCAGATGCCAGTTTCAACAAGCAGAGAGTAAACTCACAGGAGCCCCAGACCAAGCCGTCTGCCTGAATGCTTCTGACACACTCCTCCAGTTTGGCCATATCTGTCTCGTCATCCCAAGGCTTCACGTCTAACAGGATGGAAGACTTGGCCACAAGTGCGGGTTCTAAGAAAAAGTACAAAAAACAGCATTATCCAAATACTGAACCATATTTTTTCACCCTAGCCCAAGAAAGTTAACAAATCTTAATTTGTTTGAAACGGATCATCTCCTTAGCCACACAAAACTACATGATACATCTTGTGTTTGTCACACACGTGCCCACTTTCTGTTTTGCAAAGAAAGAGGAGTTTAACTGTGCAACAGTTTCTTTCCCACAGAGGAATGCCACAACTGCCACCGTAAGAACAGCTGCAGCCCAGTGGCTGTGGAAGTTTTAGGAAGAACCACCTCTACAGAAGGTGCTGAAACACTGACCCATTCAACGAATGGGGAGGAAACTACTTTGCAGATCAGTCTTTGAAAAGATTACTCACATTACCATGAAATGAATGAAGTTAAATCATAAAATGACCTACTCTTGGCTTTCTTTGACTCATACTGTGCAAGGCGTTCTTCTCTTAGCCTCTTCGCTTCTTCACTTTCCTGTAAAAAAAAAAAATTAATACATTTCACAAAGCTGGTTGTTGCTCAGCTTAAAGCTGGTGGGGTCACACAACAAAGACCAGCTTTATCAGAAAAAAGCAAATCCATCACGAGCTCAGCCGAAAGATGGTGATTTGATTTTACTCATCATGTAACCAGCGAGAATTTTTAAAAGGCAGGTAATAAAGTGAGGCCAGGATTCAAACCCAGGCAATGTGGCCACAGAGCCTGTGCTTAAGCACAACACACAGCACATCAATTTTTGCATACCTCCTCATCATCAGATCCAAAGAGGTCAATGTCATCGTCATCTTTACTATCTGTAGCTCCACTTCCTGTGGTGTCTTCCACATCAGCAGGGCCGTACTTGCCCAAAGCCTTCTTCACTCCTGGCAGGCTTGAAAAAAATTTGAACTTGTTTTCACTATTATCAACGGACTCCTTTTGTACTAAGAATTTACCCTTCAACACTCCCAGATAGTTTTATATATTTTAACTCCTCACCCAACAAACAATAGTAGCATGTGAGACACCACATTCAACACTATAATTTACTCTTTCAGAATAAGTGTTTGAGTAGTGCACGGGATCCACGTCCCCAAACTTCCACCCTTGTTGGCAGTTTCAGAAGAATGGCCAAGGACTGAATGAATGAGCCCCCCATCTCAACCCAGAGGTGGGCCCCCAGGTCAGGGCCAGCACAGTGGCAAGGCAGAGTGGGGAAAAGTCGAACTGCTGCTGCCCATGTTCTACCTGTTTCCTAACAAAACGGAGCGTTTCAGTCTCTTGGCCTTCTAAAGTCACAAAGACGTTTAGTTCCTAACTTCCCAAGAAAACTAATGTAGCCTGGGTCCCATTTGCCACATGAAAAGGCTGCCTTTGTGACCAACGAACCATGCAAACGAAGAGTTACTGAAAATTTGATCAACGACATGGTCTGTCAAAAGTTTTGCAGAAATTCATGTACCAGTTTCACAGATGTTGGTATCTTGCAGAGAAACTTACACGTTTGCAGCAAGACCTCTACAAAATGTTCCCGCACTAGGCGTCCTAAAGTCATCTCGTCCTCCCCTGGGAGGGTCCACAGCCACATTCAGATCGTGGATGTATGTAACAGCACGCGCCCTGCTGCATGCGCCCCGCTGCATGCGCCCCGAAGGAGCAGCTGTCACGAATAAATCTGTCATGCCCTGCTGTCTGTGCAGCCTCCACTGGCACTGAGCCGGGGGGACACTGCATTGGGAGCCACCCCGGCGTCCTCCCGCGCCTGTGCACACTACAGACCTCTCCTCACCCACTGCGGCCTCGGTTGTGCTCTTCGCTTCGCACTCACCGAGAGAGAACCACCGACTCGGGTACACCCTCAAGCCCGGAAAGGGCCCCATCCTCCAGAGAACTCACCTGGCCTTCTCCCTCTCGTAGGACTTGATGTGGTTGTACCAGCGCAAGGCGTGACACAGGTCGGCGGGGGGCGGGCCTGAGACCGCCTCGAACACGGCCACGTCGGCCTGCGACGGCACAAACCTGCGGCGACAGTTACGCAGGCTTTAAGGGACAGCCAGGGCCCGGCACACGGGGGACCCGCCGACGCCACCGGCCGCCTTAGCCCCCGTCGGAGACCAGCCCTGAGTCGGCCTCCGCGGCCGTGCGCCGTCCCCAGGACGCCCGCCCTCCCGGGGCCGAGGCCGCGGTCTGACCGGCCC